AAAAGAGGCCTGTCGCAAGGCCTCAAGGTGATGAGGAGTCTCAGGGAGGTGCTGGAGGCTCACCACCTCCAACCTCGCGTCGCGGCCGTGCAATTAGAACTCCATCTCGATTTCTATAGCTATATATATATATCAAGGCCTAATAACCTCGTCTCCAAAATATATCGCGATAATAACTATTTGGTGTGGCTCTACAGCCTCGTTTTTGAAGTGGTTTTCGTGAGGCCGCGCGCGCATGAGGTGGTAGCGCGCATGAGATGGTGGGGCTAGTTAGTCGGAACTCCTAGACTAAATCTTTCGCTAAGATGCAAGACGCCTTACATTTAGCAACTGCACGCCTATCTCCCATCAAGTCAGCATACCGTATACGCTTCCTGCTTCCGTGCCTCAAGCAGATGGTAGGGTGCACAGTGGACTCGGCGCCATGTCAGCAAATGGCGTATATAAAAAGGGAAGCACTGCCATTGTCTGGATAGACAGACGTGCTCGTTTCTCGTCTCATCCCAATTGTTGACGGTAACTTGTAATACCATCGCCCATCATGGTCAAGCTACAAGTCATCGCTTCTGCTCTGAGCCTGGCCTCCTTGACATTTGCAGCAGCACTGCCTGCTCCTCATGTCCCTACTTGCAAGAAGCCTGCCAAGCGGCTTGAATGGTAAGAAGAAACTTCTTAGATAACATCCAAGAGTCGTATACTAACAGTACTATCCACAGGAGACAGATGTCCACTAGCCAAAAACGCAGCTACATCTCCGCGGTCCTCTGCCTCCAAAAGATCCCCTCAGTCTCCGGGTTCCCATATGCTAAGAACCGTTACGACGACTTCCAAGCCATTCACCACGACCAGGGCGACTACATCCACTGGGTCGGCTTCTTCCTCCCCTGGCACCGCTACTTCGTCTGGGCCTACGAGCAAACCCTCCGTAACGAATGCGGCTACAAAGGCGCCCAGCCCTACTGGGACTACACCCTCGATGCCGATCCGCAAGATCTAAACTCCACCCGCATCTACGACACCGATGTTTTCTCCCCAACCGTCGGCTTCGGCGGTAACGGCCCTAGAGTCGTGCCTACGCCCGAGGAAAACCGACTAGGTATCAACAGCACCGGTGGCGGCTGCATCCAAGACGGCCCCTTTGTCCCCAGGAACTTCATGCTGAACTTCCCGGGCCCCGAACCACAGTGTCTCCGTCGCGACTTCAGTCCCAACCTGCTCAACCGCGGTGCAGACCCAAAGGTCGCCGAGAATATCATTAGCAAAGAAACTTACGTCGCATTCGACCGCGCGCTGCAGGGCGCGAAGAACTTCATCAACCCCAACATCCACGCTGCAGGCCACTTTGGTGTCGGCGGCGTGTTTGGACAGGCTGGTGACGTGAAGAATTCGCCTGGTGAGCCGTTGTTTTGGCTGCACCACGCGTCGATTGATCGGCTTTGGTGGCTCTGGCAGCAGGGCGATCTTGCGACAAGGAATTTCGAGGTCGGTGGCAATTTGGTGCCTGAAGTTTATGGGAACGATACAGAGATTACGCCCGAGTTTGAGATTCAGCTAGGGGCTGTTGCGGGGACGATCAAGTTGGCTAAGTTGCTGAATACCAAGGGAGAGCTGTTTTGCTATAGTTATTAGGCAAGACTGGCAGCTTAGGCGTAGGGTGTAAAAAATAAAGTTGTTGTATGAGATGTAATTATGAATAGTATATCCTGCTCTCGGCTCGACTTTTACTTCGTCCCTCTTTCTTCCGCATGTATGCTTTCGATTGTGATATATACCTTCTTTTTTTCGGTGTCCAATGGTCACTTGATATCCAAGCAAAAGAAGTAGAGGGCGGCGAGAAAAGTATAGCTGGACTACAAACTTCACGCAGGACCTGATTTCCGTATCCAGCGCAATCAAAGGCGCAGCTACATGCTTTTCTGACGCAGCTGGGATTGATCACCGCTCATTGTTTCGATATCGTCCCTTAGTATCACTGACTCGTAGTTTTCAGGCGACCCGGTAGCTGGAAATCTCATCGTATTTATCCAAAGATCCGGAATGATAATATGCAACGCGGTTCTAGATCCAGAGATCTATTCCGTACATAGCATTATGCGCGGCTCAATCTTTCGCCACTAGATCCTATCTCTATTTTCCCTGTTACCGACTGCGGGCTGTATATTGAGGTTGCCATACCCTTGTCGTGCTGCGCATGATGCCGGGGTTTTTGGGTTCGGGGGGCGGAAATCGGGTATGCGATCCGCTTTGTAAGGTCGCTCGAAGATAGCGGGTAAAGCCGCTGTAAGTAATGTTGATTCATCAGTAGATTTTACAGGGCCAATGGCGAGCATCAGTGCCCCTGCCATCCTACTAATTGCATCAGCAACATCAGTCCTTAGAATGGCCGTGGTTTATCTTTCTCGTCTCCTTACTCACTGTAGTTTTCTCAGCTACCCCTTGCTCTTCCTGTGTGAGCAGCCGTCACGAGAGTATGTAAGAACACAGCTAAGCGATACAAACAATAGGACAAATGCATGCACGCATACCTTTCCAGTAACGTAGGTCCACAACAACGAAGTAGCTGAGGACATAATCATACTATTCTCTTAAATCCAGTTTTACAATACCTGCATTTCAATATAATCTTACACTCATACTCTTGTCTTCTCACCCCTTCAACGCCTCAATATCCACAACCTCCTTAACCGCCTCAATAGTAAGTACATATGGCCCCTCCTCGTCTACACAAACACTATCCTCAATCCTCATGCCAATTCCGCGCGCCCAAGCAGGCCACCGCTCATCATCCGGTACGTAAATTCCTGGCTCAACCGTAATACACATGCCCGTTTCCAATTTCCTGTCTCTACTAAGACCAGGACTATCATGTACGTCTAGACCGACGTAGTGACCGACGTGGTGGGGGAAGAGTGTCTGGATGCTATTTGGTTTCATGTCGAAGCCAAGGTCTTTGAGGCCGGCGGCGAGGGCGTTAGTGGCTGTGTGGTGAAGTTGATCGAGGGTGAAGTTTGACGAGGCTCGGCAGAGCGAAACACATGTTCTTTGGACGGAGAGGAGTAGGTTGTATAGGTCTTTTTGGGCGGAGCTGAATTTCCCGGATACAGGCCAGGTGCGTGTGATATCGGTTACATATCCGCCGTACTGCGCACCGGCGTCTACAAGAACGAGGTCGTTGGGTTTAAGCAGCATGTCGTTGGATACGTAGTGTATTGTGTTTGCGTTGATGCCGCCGGCTACGACGGGTACATAGGCTGGGCCGTCGCAGTTGTCTTGTTTGAACCAGTAGTCGAGGAAAGAGTCGAGGTCCTTTTCTGCGGTGAAGGATTGCCGCATTGCGTCAGTGATGGCGCGCCCAGAGTGTTGACCTGCGTGACGCATGTTCTCGATTTCAGCCTCGCTCTTTATGACCCTAAGCTCATTCATAAGAGGACGGAGGGGTTTGATGTTTGCTGGAGAGTCGCGAAGAGGACTGTAAATGCCGCCGGTCCGCGAGGGTTCTGCGCCAGCAAGATAGCGGGAAAGGAAATTCTTCGAAATCCGGGATTGTGGGAGATCGGTGTATATGGTCTGCACGCGGTTCACGATTTCCGGGAGAAGACGAGGCAGGTCATAGACGCTACCACTAACATCGGCGTTGAAGACGTCTTCTGCAGCATCAACACCCGACCGTGGGCCTTCCCACGCCTCCGCACTAGGGTCCTTGGGCCTGACATATAGATGAAATGTATGCTCTCCATCCTCATGTTTCTCTATAACAGCCACTGCATCTTGTTCCTTGAAGCCCGTCAGATACAAAAAGTCTGGATCCTGATGGAACTTGTAAAAGACGGCACCCGAAGCAAACTTGAGTTCATTGGCGGCGAGGATCGCAACGGAATTAGGCGCAAGGTCTTTGGCAAGGGCGACGCGACGCTGGTAGTACTCTAATGCGGAGATTCCTGGTGTCACTGCAGAATTTGTTAGTACCAGCACAATAGATCAAAGGGTAGTTATCACCTTCCCCAGCCTTGAGTAGGTGTGGATGTGTCTCGTGCAGCGGCTGCCCGAATCGAAGCTGAGCAGCGGGCACTGCGTTTACGGCAGTGTACGACCTGGTACTAGCAATGAGCTGGCCATTGCGTAACCCCACAAAAGGTCTCGTGTCGCATCGGCAGTGCAGGCGCGTGGTGGGCCGCAGTAATCTGGCGACCAAAGTCATTGTGATATTAATGCAAAAGTCGGAGGCTCGGTGGTTCCTGCTGTTCGCCGGCGAATCAAAGTCTCGGGCGGCAGTGTCCCGAGCCCCGGTTGAACGTCGAGCGGGCTGGAGCAGATCGGGATGGCCGCTAGCGGATGTATTCAGTGGGGCACAAAGCTTGGCTCGATCTGACGTACTGCCCTGCATGCCACTTTTCCGCTTTCCCCGCAAACACGTCTGCCTTGCACGACTACGCCGCCTACATGATACGCCTACAAACCTCACGCCATCTGCGTGTACACATAGAAGTTCCTTGGAAGCCTCCATAACCACCGCCATCGTGTTATTCCCCCATATCATCCGAAGAATGGCCTTTTCGGCCGCCAGACCGAGCTTGGTCCCGCAGGAGGAGCTCGAGAGCTTCCAACAGCACTTGGCCAAGTCGACACGCATTCTTGCACTGCTGGGTGCAGGATTATCAGCTTCATCAGGGCTACCGACATTCAGAGGCGCAGGCGGACTGTGGAGGACACACGATGCAACGTCGTTAGCCACACCAGAAGCATTCGAGCGGGACCCAGCACTGGTATGGCAGTTCTATAGCTACCGGCGGCATATGGCGCTCAAAGCAAAGCCCAATGCCGCTCACTATGCGCTTGCCGAGCTGGCACGCAAAAAGGACGAGTTCATCACACTGAGCCAGAACGTCGACGGTTCGTGACGTCCTTACATCCCCTCATATCTTCATAGCTCACAGTGATTCCAACAGGCCTCTCTCCCCGTGCCCAGCATCCACCTGAGAAACTCAAGCTCCTCCACGGTTCGCTCTTCGACGTCAAATGCTCGGACTTCTTCTGCAAGCACTTTGAGCGCAACAACTTTACCGACCCCATTGTACCCGCTCTCGCTATCCCTAGCGACGAGTCCGACCCCACGACTGACTCGGCCCTCGCTGCCCGCGAACTCGACATCTCGGACATAAACGTAGACCTCCCTGAGCTTGACTACTCACACCTCCCCCCCTGCCCCGAGTGCAAGCGTGGTTTGCTGCGACCCGGTGTCGTCTGGTTCGGCGAGGCATTACCGAGATCCGTTATAGATGATGTCGACGCGTTTATGTCAGATAAGCGAGGTATAGATCTCATAATGGTGATTGGTACATCTGCTAAGGTCTACCCCGCCGCGGGTTACGTTGATCTTGCACGATCAAAGGGTGCAAGGGTTGCCATCATCAACATGGATCTAAACGATGTGCCCGCTAGCGGCCTGCACAAAGGCGATTGGTTCTTCCAGGGCGACGCAGCGCAGATAGTGCCTGATTTGCTGAGGAACATAATTGGAGATATTGATCCAGAAAAAATGGGCGACGCAGCTAGGGAAACGTGAATAGGAGGGGATACCCAGCTCGACATGGCACATGAGGCACACTTGTGTTCAGAAGTTTTGGTGGCAAAGCGGTATTTTGTTGTTGTTGTTGTTTTTGGCACGGGATGCACGCGTGTGCTTGCCAGGGATTACTAAGACACCAGTAGTAATATCACAATGGAAATGAAAGACAACCAATTGTTAACAAGCATGTGTCCATGCAAGCTCATGGCTCGAGTGGTGGGAATCTTCTTTTTCTTCTTTGCTGATCATGTCTATATTCATTGAATCTTCATCATTCAGGAGCAAAAGCAACATGGTGAGCCGGAAGCGTCTCCCCAAACGCCCAAATCATGATGCCCTACTCTTACACGAAGGCGATTGATACTTACGGATATCATCCTGTACTGACCTTTTCGCTGTTCCCAAGGGTAAAAAAAGGAAACGCTCAGTTCTTGTCTATCCACTAGCCGTCATAGTCACCTCAATACCTCTTTTTCTTTTTGCGCGTCCAATCCTTGTATTCTTGCAGGCATGATCCTCTCAGACATTTTACTCGAAGCCGAAATACTGTTGCAAGTTACTCTACCAAGCTAGCGCTGATGTAGCGCCATTGACTCTTTGCAAGTCTGTTGCCGTCTAAATCTATACAAAATATTGAAAAATCGACCATGCCCTTATATTGAAGCAGGGTATTTATAACCAAAGAAGCTGTTCAGATCATATTCAAACCACGCATCGATTGGCGATTCTTTCGCCGGCCACGGCACGTACTTTGGATCGACGAGGGCCGGCGAAGGCTGCAGCAGCACCATGCTAATATCGTCTGGAAATACATCTGCTATGCTGACCCAGACCTGTGGGTTTGATGTCTTGACGAGAGAATACACAAGTTGGTGTGCCCTCGCCGCAATGACGTTGGTCGCACGCATGGCAAGCAGCCAGCCAACGAGCTGTCGTACACCGTGTGCCAACAACGAAGACGAATCGGCAAAATGATCTGGACATGCAATCGCATTCATCAAAATAGCGAGGGCTTGCATCACTATGTGTACCCTTATGTTAGTATTGGGAAACTGTATATAGATGAAGGAAGACTTACCGTTATGAACAATGGTCCACCACGGCCCCTTTTCGTACAAAGTTGCTATATCAGGCACTGTCCCCAACAGTGCCACCACATCGATGGCTGCTTGAATGCATGCCTCGGCCATGGATTGGTCCAAGCTGGTGAATTCACCCGACCCAGATTCTGTGGAGCGCTCGATGCGACGAAGCGAAGGACGTGTCATTAAGATCTTCACGCGGTAGTACTGGAGTTTGAGTAGAGAGTTATTGCGCTGTTGGGCGTAATCCATTGCCCAATTTTCTGAATGGAAGTGGGGAACGCAATCCACAACCCATTTATCCAAATCTCCTACCAATGCAACCATTTTCCGTTGGATGTGAGACCATGGGGGAACCAATTTTCGCTGGGTATACAGACTTGATATCACCTGCTGCGTTATTATGTGCAAGTTAGAGTCGGCGTCTAGGAATGCCATGTTTGTTGTTCTGGGTGCACCTTGTCCATAGGTGCCGGATATTGCATCAAAAAAAGCTTTCGATGAAGGGGTGGTGATTTCGTCACCTGGAAGAGTACTTGGACGACCTGTGATTGAGCCCAAGAGACTCTCTAGTGCATGTAGACTCCACCATGTGTCTACCCGACTTTGTTGTCTGGCTGCAGACATGGAATAGTCCTCCTGCTGAACATGGAGTCCAAGGGAAAGTGCAGATTGCATGGCTCCACGGACCATTATCCAGGCTCTATCGATTCATAGTCAGTATGTGAGGATTTCAGATGTGAGAATATGATAAAGTGGAGCATCGATCCAGTGAAGATTATGCATAGTGGCGCTTACCTGTTGAAATGACCAACACTCATGTAATAAATGCTAAAAAGACCAGCTGCCTGCGGGCAATTAGCGATAATATAATGACCCCGAGGAAACGTTAGCTACCTGAGTAGAAGACAAAACTGGAGTCGAGAAACCAAAGGCAGAGTCATTCATTGCGAGCAGCTGATAAGCACGTGATATGTATGTAACATGATCGAGAGTGTCGGCGCGCCAGTCGGCTTGGATAAGATGAGAGAATTTGGCTCCAATGGCGAAGACGAGATTGACTAAGGCAAACCAGTTCTGTGGGCATTGTATTTCCTTGTGGCTGTGGATCAGGCTGTAATACTGATGCAGCTGTGCCTCAAGCATGGCTGGAAGGATCGGAAAAGATTTCTGAACAGTGCGTTTGAAACACTGGAAGAGAAAGCTTGCAGTTTGTTCCGAGGGCAGCTCAAAAGGATTGCCGCCATGCATAATCTTGACACCTTCGTCATCAAGATGATAGGTGATGGGAGGATAGGTGATAGGAGCAATAGAGGGATCCTGGTTGGTTGGAGTGAAAGCAGGCGATGGGACAAGGGCCGGAGGTGTCGGAAATACCATGGGCACTGAAGCGCTTGTTGGTTCCAGGCCGAGGGGCCCGACAACCTGGACTCTATTTCTGAGGCTCTGCAGCCATTGAACTTCAGAAACCTGGCTTGGGAAACCTGCTTCGACTATATCGAATAGATATGCCGCTGCTTCTTCGTCTTCATCGTCTGATTCGTCCGGGAGGATACCGTCTAACCGGGGTAGTGATGATTGGTCCGAGTCTGTTGATGGTCCTAGAGCCTGGGTAGAGGAAGAAGCAATAGTGGGCTGCAAGTGAGAATGCTTTTGATACAGGCAGGCGACGGATGAGCGAGAAGAAGAGGATGTGAAGGCTGGCGGGGTGGATTCGTCGTCGGACTAGGCCGAGTTAGTTCTGGCTTGATACTGGGACATGGGGGGTTGGAGACTTGCATCCTGGAGAGCATCTACAATCCTTTGCCTGTCATCGCCGTCGAGACGTAGACTAAGGTCTTTGAGGATGGAAACTAGCGTATCATTGCGTGCATTGGCACTGTGTGCGAGTCAGGGCATGCACGGCAGGGCGAAAATGGTCCGGGGTACTCACAGAGCCAGGCGGTCTCTCCGTGGACGCTCATAAACACAGGGCCTGTCGGTCTTGTCGCAGTAGTTGCACCGGGGAAGACTGCCACTGCATTTGATTTCTGGAATTGTCTGGTTAGCTGGGGTGGAGGGAGCGGTTGTGACGACCCACTTCTTTTGTGACAGTTGCGGCATGCTAGTTGGACCCGGTCTCTCTGACGTGACTTGGAAGTGGTTGCTGGCGGAACGCGTCGCGAAGAGAGCCGCGGAATGGCCATTTTGAATTGTGCTGAGTAGGGTGCAGTCGAGGCTGAGCCTATGGGCCGCTGGTCGTCTTGCATCAGAACCGGCCACTGGCAATCTGTAGGTTGCAGTGAGTGATGTTGCGAGAACAAGAAACCATGGGGGCGGAGCTTGGATGATTAGGTGTGTTCTCGACTGCCTGCGTCATGGCAATCTACTGTACGTACGAGGGAAGGTCGGGATTTATGTCTGGTCGCCCTGTGATTGGCTACGGTGTTCTTGCCCGAAGCACCACCGCGTCCCCTGCCCACGCCTTCGGACGACTTGACCGCAAGAAACAGCGGCTGACACGTCCACAAGCAAGTCGTGACCACAGAAAAACAAATCACATTCACACGGCGCACAACTAAGGGCCCTCAAGTCTTCGCTATACCAGATACTGCCGCAAACTCACAGCCCTACCACTTCCTCCAGCCACAACCCGCCCACTCCCCCGTCCCCGTCCTCGGCATCCATTCTTTTTCCTGTCTTGTCCGTTTCCCCACGCCCCGCCGTTCTGTAAAGGACAACGTCGCCATACCAGAATCCTCCTTCTGCAACCCGTGCTTCCTCCTCTTCGTTTCTCGGGAGCCGCAGCACAACTTCTGCGCCCTCCTTGAGCCCTGCCACGCCCTGCACACGGCCAAGTCTAAACCTCGATTCGCATTTCTCTTTCTGGCCTTCATCGCCGATGATGGCTCGGTACACCTTGCGTGTCTGCTCAAGCACATCTTGATCCTTCACGATGACCGTCAGCTCTTTGACTCCCACTGCCCCACATGCATGCGTCGTCTTCTCCTTGTCCATCGGCACTCTCACGCCCCTTTCTGTTTCGTCGTGGCAGAAAAACGGTACCCGTCCCCTTAGGTCTTGTCCGCCCTTGTCTCCTCTCGGAAACGTGACACTCCACTTAACTTGCACACCATCTGCCCTCTTCCTCCCCCCATGAATTGGCTCCCCATGGCTTTCCCTCACGTCATCATAGTTCTGGGATGGAGGCAGGCTGTTGGTCAGGCACCAATCTTTCCAGCCAACAAATGTGGAAGAAGGACCCCACCAGTGGCTGGACACGAGTGATGTCGGGGCAGTGGGAACAAAGGAGATCAGCTCGATGTAACAGCCGTCCGAGAGAATGATCAGAACATTAGATGTTGCACCATCGGCATGGAAACCGCCAGGAGTCAGAGTGAAATTCTCTGACAAGTACGAGGGAACGCGGGGGAGTAGCGTCTGCGGGTCTGCGGGCACAAAGAGGATCAAGTGATCCAAACACTGATGTGGCGGCATGTTTAAATCTGGAGTTGATTTTATCTCCCCTGCGTGCTGTGTCCAGGTGCCATGTTGCTAGGTAGTTTCTGCGCATCATATATGCGGGGTTGTAGTACTTCGCCAAATATGGAAATGAGCTGCATCGTGGGGGGAATGTGGGGGTAGCTAATAGTGTAGCATCGTCTTATTTCTGCCCTTCCTCGAGAATCTCACCTTTCTACACTCAGCCTCCGCTCACTAATTTCATCGTCGATTTTAAACTCGGCACCTCAAAAACACCTCTACAGTGTATGCACGCCTCCAAAATGACATAGTACACAGCTTTGGGTAATCCTACTCTGAATCGGACGACAACGCCGTCGATGGCACTCTTGCCAGTCAGAAAAATTGATCCGGACTGATCCTCTCGCGCCATGACTTGCATCTCTTGTGCATCCATGAAGTATGTCATTTATTGCGCGTTCCAGCGTTTACGGTCCTTTTATCGTGTGCATAGTATGTAGTAAGTATGTACTTGGACAGGGGTGGCAGACGTTAAGTACGCAACGCCTTCCTGGTCCAATAACGGAGGGTTCAGTACGTCATTGCTGTCGCGCTTGACGGAACGAGCCGCTAGCACCAGGAACTGCAAGGAAACTTTCTTGCGCTCTTACATATGCCCCGCATCCATGCTCTGCCGATATACCGTTGTTGCGCTATCAGCACAAATTAATGCTACTGGCTCGACAATCCACGTGGGCGGTGGCACGCGTGAAGCTCGTGACCCGCACAACCCATGTACCACGTGGTCTGTAGCAACCACTGTCATTCGAGATAACCACATAGGTAGGCCGTATTCCATGATCGCGAAATACAATCCGCGCTGAGCAAGAAGTAGCGCTAGAGACTTTGTGCTACATAGAGCGAGCTATCTACATAGACGCGTGTTTGTCAATTAGCTAAGAAAAGGTGATTCTAATTACATGTAAGCGTGCCGTTGGAGTTGGGTTTGTGGACTGGCATGAAAACAGACCTCACTTGGCTTAAAAAAACGATGTTTGTTGTCCATATGTGTGAGAATAAAATCCACGCTCGTATAGAAGATAATTACTCGATATACGTATACAGTAATGTGAGAAGTGGCGATTTGATAGGAGATAAGTGATTGAAGGGGAATCGTACATGGTTGAGCAGAACTCGCAACTCAAGTCATTCCACTAGTTTTCGCGCCTTTTTGAACCCTATACTCGCTACTATGGCAGTAGATATCCCTCATTCCGAGTTCAGGGAGTGTGATTGATTGCATCGGTTGTGTCATGGCCAACACCATGTCACAGGAGATTGTTTGCACGCACTAGTTTTCCAAAGCTACAAAATCGCCAGTATATCAATCACTGTGAAAGGAAAGTTTTGAACAACCGAACGGTAGCTCTCATGACACTTTCCCTAATCGCAAATACATCTTAGCCGTCACCTAGCGGAAAAACGTGCGCCCGAAATAGAAAAGTTCTGCTCGTGATAGTGCATGGCAAAATGAATTTCCCGTACGAGATGATAGCTGGTGATCTGATAGAAAGATTCAGTCTTCATCACACTGCCTGTGGCGCGTTATGTAAGAATGGATAAAAAACGTGTCTGGTTCTACGCAGCTTAACGTTGCGCTGGTGGTCATGTTCAACGTATATATGACTACTACTGAAACCATCACAATATATCTTTTATCCGTTCAAGTCACGAGTAGCCCACGCGACGAACAAATTTAGTTTCATTGCTTTATCAAACTCGGCCAATCTATAAATGTGGCAGTGAATTCCAAAAGTGGCATTACTCTCAGCACCGGCAAACTGTTCCACTATAGCCTCCCTTTCGACCATGTTGTACGTCAACACGTAGAACAAGATAGAAGCAGCAAGGACCTTTTGTTTTTGTGTTTTATGGGATTGTTTTCCTTCCGAGATGTTTGTACGTACAAACTCACTCATACTTCAACTAGGCACTTCGTCACTATATCACTTTGTACAGGCCACACTACATCCCCGTAGAACCTCTGCGAGAGCTCGATGCAACTTTCGATATGTCAGTTCCTTCTGATTACAGCATTAGCAAGGAAGAAGATACGGAAGAACATGACTCGCATGATGAGACTTCCCATCAACGCGGAGTGTCGACACCAATCAATGGAAAGCTGAAGAGGCTTCCAGAGGTACCTAACTATGTCGATATCGACAACGTACAAGACGATGAAGAACGAAGTACAGATCAGTCGTTCAACTCCAGTGGCGACTCATTACCCCAGGCGGTCGAAGATAGTGACAGCGAATTGTCGGATGATCCAGCGCCGTACATTGACCGCGAACTCATAAGCAAACCACGATGGCCAGAAGAAAATTTCAAGCCCCACGAAACGGATGCAACTAAAATCAAAGCCGTCTTTCATCTCAAGCTGCCCGGTGGTAGCGGATGGTACACACAAAGAGACATATTGCCTGAGCAGCGCGAGTCGGCCGAAGAAGACAAGAACGATGAACACGAAACTCTTTTCGTTCCTGAGCTCATAGCATACAAGGTTCCCCAGAAGCCCAAAGCTGAGAACAATGCTACTTATTCTCCCTGGACCAGGGTCTCCACATGGCGATGGAAGCGAACTGCAGATGACGAAACAGAATTCTGGACTCCGAAATTTGTCTTTCGTCGATTTCACGCCCGCACCTACAAGTATGAAGGAATATATGTCGGCGAGACGCAGATCAAAAACATCGACCCCAACAATAAAGCCTGGGTCTCAGCATACCACAAGTGGATCAACCAGATCAAACGCCGCTCAGATAGCAACTGGGTGCACGAAAAACGACGGGACCACTGGACCGTCCCTGAGATTCGCACCATGTACAATGGCATTAACAATTTTCTACACACCAACTGTATCGATGCCTACCACGGGATATCGAATGTGAGTCTGCGGCCGATACTCGATGCTATAAACGCTGCAGGGAACAATAATCGCGGGATGGATGCACTGCGCGGGCAGTTGAGTTCTGCGCACGAGTTGAAGAACACAAGTATCGCTTACCTTCGTGATAATGTGCGAGAGCTGGCCAAGTATCTGGAGGATGGGGGCATACTTGATGATGAGGAGCGGTTCCCGGAGAAATTCATTCCAGAAGAGGAGTTTCCCACGGCTCCGAGGGCGAATATGCGGAGACTTGGGAGTAAGAACAAGTCTTCGGGACAGAAGGTGAAGGATGTGGCAGGTAGTGTTGAGACTGGTGTTCCCGGTAACAACACACTTGGCGATATTGTGTAGGTTCACCCTTCCTAAGTAGTCAGGAGTCTTGTCTGCAGCTTTTGCCTCGTAAATGATTATTTAGGGCTGATCGTATCAGTCAAATCTACAGCTTTGCTAATAAAGTCGATGTTTTGCGTTTGCTGTCCTATCCCCAATACTAGCGCACCTTCCTCATGACCCAAGTGACTTCTTCCGTAGAATCACATGAGACCCCACCCCCTATCAATATGTATCCATCAACAGAATGACACCGCATATCACCTGACGCTATACACCATGCAGTCAGACACTGCAAACATGTTTAGCAGTCTTTCATCTTCTGTTTCGCGAGTCCCACCTAAAGAAACCGATTTTGCCCTGGCGGACACGCTGCAGAAACTGCCCGGCGAAATCTATGAGAGAAACAAAATGTGCAGCAATCAAGACTCAGAACCCTGGGAGATTTGGGACAGCAGCAATGCAATGGTTTCGAAGACAAGGCTGGATCGCAGTGAGGAAGAGGGTGGCCTGGCTGAACCTCAGAAGAGCAGGACTGGACTCGAAGTAAACTTCTCTGGCGATCATTCAGAGCCACTGCATCCAGTGCGATTGTTGTCACACCTGGCGGCTTTCAGCGAGAGAAACCGGAGTAGGTCACAAGATTGCATTGCGGTGAACAACGAAAGTGTCAAGCAATCGAGCCACACCGCTACAGAACTGAGCAATCGCCATGGCGCAACCTCCACAGTCAATGCAATCGGATTGGGTCTCACCAACGACTCTTCGCTGGCATCTCCTTATCGTAGCGAAAACTTGACTGACAAAGTATCTGACTGGCTTGAACATGGATTCTTGAATCCTTCACCTCCTATGGCTGACTTTTTGAGGTCGGACAGCAGGGGCACTGATCGCGCCTTCCCCCCTAGGCCTGTTGCGCTATCACTGTTTCCACCTAGATCGCCATTGACAGGAAATCGCGAATATACACCATCCAACAGCCCATTTCTTCAGTCAGTCAGCCCAATTTCGCCGTTGAACAATGGGAGAGACGTCTATGGCAACTACATCCCTTCAAATACACGTGATTACTTCACTACACAGCTATCGTCTTCTTCACCAAGCTCTCAGCCAACCAACAAGTACAAGGCTCCATCTGTGAGCGAGAAGTCATCATCCATCAGTCGGCTAAATGGTGGTCGCTGGAACAAATTGAAATCGCTTTGGAAAGTAGCTGACACTGAAGTATCTAACCCACGAACCGATGCTTATCCTCTGCAATTCATCCCCGACAAAGACGTCATACCCCATGACATATCCACAGTCACTTATCCAGGACGGTCTATCGATCAAGCTCCGCCTATTATCCGTTCCCGGTTGCTTGCAAGTCAATCTAAAACAGACTTGCATGTGGTAGACAGTGTCAAAAACAGACCATCTACTACCTATACTAGCGGAAGTAATGCAGAAGACACCAACTCGCAAACGAGAACACAGCAATTTGCCGACACAAACTGCACTCCAGTTTACAATAGTCACTATAATCCCCTTGCAGGCAACGGCAAAATCGCTCCCAGAGATGAGAAGAGATGGCACAAAGACAATCTTCCACCACCACCTCGATTTCTACCAGCGCCGCCTCCCAAAAGCGTTCAAACTCAACATCGAAATGCCAACTTATCCCTGTATGCAGGAATGCAGAGTCGTAGGGTCAAATCACTTGTATGTAATAAGAAGGAGGACCGTAGGCCCAACAATCGACCTAGAAATGAATGTTCTGGTGCTTGTCGAAAAGGTGGAAGTGATCGAGAGACTCGATGTACAGAAAGGCAGCAGCGGCCATCTGGAGAAACAGAATATGAGTGCGAGGAGAACCTCGTGTACCGAGAAGAATCACACAAACAAAAATATAATCTGATCACGGCCAGGTCTGAAGACGGTACCACCAAGGCAACGACAGTACGAGATTTGGATAGCCGCTTCAAGTTAGAGCCCATCATAGAATCAAGTCTACAATCTCCCAAGATTCCAGCTGTATCATCACGATACTTGCCTTGTCATAGCCCCATTCATGCTTCTCCTCAACACCCGAATGAACAGATGCGCCACCCGGGAACAGTTGGCCCTTCCGCTGCTATCACATCACCAAAACCTGCCGCGTCGGCCACTATCCAAAAACATCAAACCTCGCTTCGTTCTGTGCTTTCGAAAGCAGGAAAACTGTCACGCTCTGTCTTGGTTTCACCTTTTGAAACTGGATCCAAATCTGATTCACAGTACCATCGATTAGTAGACCTAGACAATAATGAGCCGACAAAGATTGGTATGAGTGCAGATAGTAATGGGTGGCCCCGGTCATATTCTTCAAAGTCAGGAAAAGAGAGAACAGGATGTAGAAGGGAGAGAGAGAATGGAATGAAAAAAATTGAAGGCCTAAATCCCGAGAGATACCTTGAAACGAAAAACTCTGAAAGGAATGAGTACTTCAGCGCGCCAGCGGTAAGCAATGATACTGGTAAATCTCAATCATCTATCGTTACAAAGCGGCGGAATAAACCTAATCCCGGAATTGAAATTGCCTCAATCTCCAACCTGACCGATACGCCGGATCGATTCCAAGCAGGCCTTGCTACGCGGAATAATGTCGACGGTACTGTGCGTTTTAATCAAACGACTCAAGAATGGCTTGATAGCATCGTTCCCAGAACCAGTATTACAACACAACCCACTCTCAACAGAGGAAGCAACTCCAATGATGGAATCGATCACCCATCTCACTATATACTACCCAGACCCAGCACTGAAGCCAATAGCTTAGCAGTTCACTACCAAGCCCTTACCACCGCCGCCCTCAACCCTTTGTCCACCCCGACATTCTCTATCCAAAACAATCACGAAAGTCTCGACAGCGCCACACAAGAAGCTCTTCTTGTTGCTGACCGTATCCGTCAATACGATGCAAGATCTAGCGCTAACAGAGCGGGAACTATGATCCGTTCGAGTTTCAGCTCTGATTCTTCCGACGGGATTACACAGCAAGAGGAAGAGGGAGAAGAAGAGAAGCGGAAGCGGAAAAAGCGGAGTTTATGGCGAAGGCAGGATTTTGCTAGGGTCATGGCGCTGATGCATTCGTATGAGTAGATTCTATGCTCTGCTCTCTTCCTACAAGACGGGCAGTAGCTTTTCTAGGATCTCAACGTGAGGTGAATAAGGGAATGAAGGTACGGATGTGATTTCTTCATACCAGAGGATATATATGTATGATTTAGCGAAACCTGTTTTATGCAATGGAGATGGAATAGTGAAAGATAATTACGAGAGTTCCTGAATCGAATCTGCTTCAGGTAACTATCCTCGTCTAGTGCTACTACAGCAGTGTGTACTATGTGAATCAACACATTGAAAAAAAAAGAGGAAGAAAATGAAATTGATAGTGTACATGCCTTGTCTTAGCAAAACCTATAATAATGTTACATCTCCTCCAGAGAGCAGCCAAAACCCGGCGCTACGATCCAGTGAAGCCCCCCCCTAAAAAAAGGAAAAGATGTAAAGTACAGCCCCAAAAGTCTCGTAAAAGAGTAGAGAGTTTGCCTCTACCAAAGAAAAAGAAAGAAAGAGTACAAATCCCAGTTCATGCGCAGGAATCCAAAGTTCAATAATCACAATGACTATACTCGTACAAACTGCCTACACCGGCAACCCCAACCACACAAGCCAGAGCCTCCTGGCGATCCCAAAAATACTCCCGCATCCACTCCACCACCATATCCAGGCCGGAAACAGGCGAGTTGCAGCTCCAAACCTTGCCGTGCCGCGCCCAAGGCGCATACTGCCATTCCGTCTCCGGAAAGCGGTGTTGCAAGCAAGGTAGCAGGGAGCGCGGCGCTGCAACGCGGGTGCCGTGGAGACTCCCTGCTTGGACTAGGTGGGCTATGCCTGAGGAGATGGTCATGATGGCGAGGAGGTTTGTGTTGAGGCATTGGGAGGTGAGGAAGGAAGAGGCCGGGGGAGGGAGGTTGGTTAGGATTGAGGTTCCCGGGATGAGGAGGATGTCGAATTGGGGGGCGTTGATGAAGGAGTTCTGTGATTGGAATGAGTCAGTTGTTTTTGTTGATATACATGTTTTTCTGGGAGGGAGAAGAAGGGGGTGTGAGGGGATCGTGTTAACCTTTATCTCTCCCGTGCCAGACTTGTCAGAGATGACTACTTTGATATGGTAAAAAAGAGTAGCCAAGACCGGGCGAATCCAGCGGTGCCAAAAAGGCGGTTTCTTCTTGGTTGGGAGAGCGTGGTGTAACGGGGGGAGGGAGGGAGTATGGACACAAAAGGCATGTCGGGTTCGGTGGGTGGTGGTTTTATAGGATCGATATCGAAGGTTTTAGCTCACCGTCACCGGCATTCGCGAGCCAGCTGTGACGGGGAAACTGCCTTCTCCCGTCATGCTAACGTATCGAATGTCGATTTCGTCCACGGCTTGGTCCAGTGCTGCGGCCGTGGGGTTGCATTTGCTGATCCGACTTTTGCTAATCATGGCGAGAAGGTCGAGAGCGGCCAAGTCGAGCAATTGGACTTGACCGAGAATGATGACACCGATTTTCAGTGAGGATCTTGACGGTGGTGCATAGTGAATATCGAGGTTTTCTTGCGAGGTCGATGATGTGGTGCAATAATAGAAGAGGTCCGCTTGGCTTGGAAAGGAAATACTAGAATTTCCTGTGGGAGACGTCATGAGGATGTGAGGAAGGACTGAGAAGAGATTTGAATGTAAAGTAGGCTAGACTGAAACTTCCGAAGCTGTAAGGCCTGGTGTGAATAATGTATTCTCGCCTTGTGGCCTGAGGAAGAGCTTTATATCACACACTACGTAGGTGATGAGCCATCCTGCATCACTCAAATCCACGTAACGTTGGCAAGGGTAGCAGACGCCACGCCCAAACGTCATACGGAGATAAATGCCGCGCTTACATGGTGCTCTTGCGCTATACTGATGATGTGCATTGGTGAATTGCAATGCGGCTCAGCCCCTGGGAAGGTTGATGACTTTCCGGTTAGGGCCCGTTCGCGAACCGACAGTTCCCGATCTCCACCATTAACTCTAGACATGACGTTGTCTGGTGGACTTGCACTCATTCATACGTTGGTTTTTTTCTTCATATTAAGACAAGCAGTTACAATGTGCCTAGGTATAGATGCCGTTATTTTTGGGGGGCGTCTGGTGCATAATGTTGTTGCCTATGTGCCGTCCTGATGCTGCAGTGGTACCGAGAGATTGAGGATGCTAGGCATCACCATTTGCGACCATGTCAATGGACCATGACTCTGGGTAGGCGGCACAATCAGCGGCAGCGCCGAACCGTAATCGCGTATTCAGGAACCATGGCCTAACTCGAATCTGGTCCGAAGGGGCCTAAAAACGGAGGTAAAGGGAAGAGTCGGAGGTGAGTATGGTCAGCTGCCATGGAAGGACGAGGGTTGCAGATGCCATGGCGACCAGTATGGCACTGGGCGTTGTGGGCGGCCAGGCAGGAACGGCGACCCGGCTTCACCTCGTAGCATGTGACCTCGCCGCGCCGCTTGGGGCAGAAGCAATCTGGTGGAACACCGAGACGCCGCGAGCAGGCGGTGCGCAATACGGCGTGCAATACGACGTCAAACTACAGCTCTGACGTATGGCTTATGGGGTTGCGTCTGCTGGAGTCTCTGCAAAATGATGCGTTGCACTTCACAGGCCATCATGTATATGTACGTATGTTATGGTGCGGGGTATCCTTATTCAATTGCAACATCTATGTATACGTTGCTCGAGGTGTACAGGGCCGTCGCGGCAGCACAAAGGCTTACTCACAATGCGGCCGTAGTAATATTCACCGCGTCTTGTCCAAAAGAAACAAAAAAACAAATGTACTGAAAAAATCATTGCCCGTTGGCGGCGCATGCTCTGCCCTAGACCTCCTTGGCCTCACCGTCGGCCTCGCCCGACTTGACCGTCTTGCCGGTCTTCTTGATCTTCTCCAGAACGGTGTCATAGTCGAGCGAGTCGGCAGCGGTAATCTCGGCAGTCTGGTTCTCGAGAGAGACATTGTACGACTCAACACCTGCATGCTTGTTAGAGACTGTGGTGGCGCAACTGGTGCTGAGCAAGGTACTGACCTTCGAGCTTCTTAAGCACGCGCTCAATGGCGCCAGAGCAGCCGCCGCAGCTCATGGCAACGTTGAACTTGTATGTGTGGGTCATTTTGTAGGTTGTAGGTGTGTGATATAGGCTTGCTTGGAGGGGTGGTGGTAGTGGTCTTGATGGCTAAGGTGGATTTGCCGAGATTTTGCTGTTGTATGTTAGCAATCATGAAGCGGTCACGCAAGAGGTATATATAATCGACTACATCGCGCGCTAGCGTAGGTAGGGACTTTGACCAAGGGACATGAGCAAGTTTCAAGACAATGGTGCAATTCGGCTAGATTGCAATAGATTGTGGTCGTGCTCCGCTGACACATGCAACCTTTGCCATGACAGTCCGGCAGGTGGAACCTGTTGCGCCTCAGCCAGGTACATTTCTCATCTTAGGTTTGAGGGTCGGACAATTTAGTGGGGTGAAACTTGCTCACGGAGAACGTCCTTGGGCCCAGAATGGAAATTGTGCCATTGCTGATCCTCTGGACAACACCGTGTCCCTGCCGTGCCTCTGTAAATAAAACTGTCGCTCGCTCCGCATTCTCCGCGTGGCGAGCATCAGCAACGAGTGTCATGGTGATGCGATGCTCCGTGTCGTCCGGACAGACTTGAGATGGGAATAAGTACTGAATACCGGTCCGATCAGAAACGCCCAATAATCAGGCTGCGGAGACATAACCCATGAGGTACCAAATGGTTTCTCGCGCTGCTCGCATGTTGCAAGGTCTACTTGTTTCCTTTATAGCCAAGCAGAGAAACGCAGAGTCGCCCAGCATCATCTGGCCCCATGTCGCGTGCTAATCTTGTCTTGTTCCTGATGCTGAACCCTGAGACTGAGCGGCGGCCCCACGTTGGCTAGCGCGGGGACCTGGGCTGGCCTGCGACTGCGGCGGTGACGTCTTTGGGCAGAGCTTGTGCTGTCCATGCCAGCCAAAAAAAACATTCCTCTGCCATGGCTTCGTAGGTACCACGCAGGCCTCGACATGTCCTTCTGCTTACCAAATGGCCAGCAACATCCTCTTCCTTCCCTTCAGACGCTCGCACTCGGTCAACCTCAGCGATGCCGTCAAGCAGTACATCTCGTCCAAATATGACCAGCACCCGAACATGTTCACCAAGGACATCGAGACGTTCGAGAGGCTCCGATCCGTCGCCACACATGCTCAGGAAGCCCATCCGAGCAACATCCCCAAGCTGCAGCAATACGCCGCGCAGCTGATATGGCTGAGCGGCAAGTTTCCCATCGATATCGGCGTCGAGTTCCCCTGGTATCCTGCGCTGGGATACAACACGAGCCGCCCAACATCGCGCAATAATCTCCGATTCGAACTCGCCAACATCATGTTCAACCTCGCCGCCATGTACTCCCAACTGGCAATGTCGTCCAACCGAAGCACGCCAGACGGGCTGAAAGCGGCCGCCAACAACTTCTGTCTCGGCGCCGGCATTTTGTCCCACCTGAGAAACAACATCTTGCCCGATCTTCGGACCGAACCTCCAGAGGATATGGATCTTATGACACTCGAGTGCTTGGAGAAGCTTCTGCTGGCTCAGGCCCAGGAGTGTTTCTGGCAGAAAGCGGTCAAAGATGGACTGAAAGATGCCACGATTGCAAAGCTAGCCGCACGCGTGTCGGATCTCTATAATGAAGCAGGGGACGCAGGTATACAATCTGATGCAATCAGCAGCGAGTGGATACACCACATGACAGCAAAGCACCATCACTTTGCTGCCGCTGCCCAGTACCGTGCAGCTTGCGACTCTCTCGAGAAGCGCAAGTATGGCGAAGAGGTTGCAAGGCTACGCGACAGTCTCACATGCGTTAACGAAGCCCTCAAAGAACAACGGTACATCAACAAGGCTGTGTTGGCTGATCTGAACGGCTTGAAGAATCGCATAACCGAAGACCTGAAGCGCGCCGAAAAAGACAACGACATGATATACCTGTTACCCGTTCCACCAAAGGCAGAACTCAAGATACTGGACAGAGCAAATATGGTAGTTGCAAGGGTTCCAAAGGAGATTGCAGAGTCCAACTCAATGCTAGGGGAGCATGGCGAGCTCGGCCCAGCACTCTTTTCCAAACTGGTACCATACTCAGTGCACCTGGCAGCAAGCATCTACGTTGATCGCCGCGATCGATTGGTCAACGGCCAGATTGTTGAGCAGCTGGAAGCGTTGACAGACAAGATTCACGAGGTACTCCGTAGCTTGAACCTGCCAGGATCGCTCCAAGCTCTCGAGAAGCCATTGGGCTTGCCGCCAGGTCTGGTTGCTCACGCTGATGAGATACGCCAACAGGATGGCATCAACCGGCTCCTACGCTCCATGGAAGACACCAAGAAACTCATGTATACTGACCAAGCTATCTACCAGGAAGGTGTCGACATTCTGCGCTCAGAAGCTGCAGAGGATGAAGGCGCACGTCGAAAATTTGGCACTGAGCAATGGACCCGACCACCTGCCGCGCAGGCTGCGCCCAAACTACACGCTCAGATTGCTGAAATTGATGGCTATTTCAAGGCTGCAACAAACAGCGACAACATTGTAAAGACAAAGCTCAAGGAAAATGAATACTTCATCAAGCTACTCAGTGGACCCGACCATGAACTGGAGAACTATGTGCCCAGTGGCCGGAGACCTGCCATTACTGGAGATGTAGAACGTGAAGCCGTCAAGTTACGAGGCAGCTTCAATGAAGTGAGTCGACTTGAGAGCAGACGGCGGCGAAAGATTGAGGCGTTGAGGACCAAGGCGAAACAAGATGACATAAGTAGGTGTTGCACTGCCATGTCGCTGACCAAACCCTGACGAGACATTAGACCCGGAGCTGCTGCGCGAAGCCGCTCGCCTAGAGCGGGAGTATCCTATGCAGACGATCGAGGCTGTACAGTTTGAGGGCTTGTTCGATAAGCGACTACAGATGTACGATGCTGACTTGGACATGGTTCAAGAAGAAGAAAAGGAACAGGCCGAGGCGATCAAACGGCTACAAGACGCAAACGCTGCCTTTTTGATCGCTCGTCGCGGAGACCAGTCTACTAAGAAACGTGAACAGGCATTGCAAAACTTGGAGAACGCATACTTCAAGTACAAGGAAATCATCTCCAACCTTGATGTTGGCCGTAAGTTTTACAACGACCTTGCCAAGATTGTGAATCGGTTCAGGGATGAAGCGCGGACTTTTGCCTACAACCGCAAGTCCGAAGCATCACATCTGGAAAGGTATGTTGGTGCAGTCAGTGGTTTATTGCTCTGTACTGACGACAGATAGCGATCTTACTACGCGGATGAGCTCCCTCGGTCTTCAGCAAGCAGCGTCAAGCTCGCTGCAGCAACAGAAGCAGGCCGACGCACAGGATCCCCACTATGGCGCAAGTGCACATGCTGAAGAGCCACTGACTGCACCAACGCCTACGAGGGCAAGCATGCCTCCGACTGCGGGCATGTGGACTCCAGAAGTAGGGATACGGTTTGGTGGCCCCCCTACAGCGTCTGGCAATCCTCGGCCTTCGGGCGGACCTCCGCAAGACGGGAGGTGGGATCCTGCCCAAGGACTGAAATTTGGTTAAACCCGCCAAGGGTGCCATCGGCATCGGTTCATTTTTCACGGGCAACTACACAGTATATTGGATAATACCCATGGCCGACAAGAAGACTTTTGTTTTGGACCAAGTCAATACGTGTAGCCTTTCTCGCCACACGAAGAGAAGGCGGGGCCAGGCCATAGCAGCTTCGTAATCCAAGATAAGGTAGTGGGTTATGAAGTAAAGATCAATACCATTGAGACTTAGGTCATTGGACCCTGGGCTGGTGCGTCGTTGCCGTGTAATTGTGTAGTAGATGCAGCACACGGAGAGGACATTACGTGTGCACAGGCATGGTTCCAAGAAGTAATTGCCCGAAGGACAAATGCTATAAATATACTGCTGCAGAAGGGACGTTGCGTTGCACATAGTTTGCCAGAAAGGGCATAAGGGCTTGGTGTATGTACGTATAATGGTGGGGACGTGGTAATCAGCCTTGGGGGAGTGTGCCTTGCGACATGTGTGGAAGCGAGGCAGTGCACAAAGGATCACCCACCGGCCCTGGACGCCCTCTGCCAAGAAGTAGCGCGACCCGTGAAATCAAATCTGCGGTTTTGCACGTGCAGCTTTGCCGCCAGTCAGGTTGATGCCGACCGTTTCATGGCGGTTCGGCGATACTGGTCTTCTGCAATTCTGACGGCGACCACTGGTTGCAGCTGGCTGGAGCGTGGGCCAAGTGAGATGCCCGCCCAAATTCACACCTGTCATTTACCAGTACATGGTAGACCAGAAGCGACCTAGGTGTATAAGGTTGGGGCGGTGGGAGCATCTAGCACACTGATTCTGCAAAACGTCACAGCTGTCGGGTAGCGGTCAGCTCAGCTCAGCTCTCCCAAACCAACGGCGCGCTGCCAGATCAGCCCGCTGTCGTTCCCACGATACCAGTCATCTTCCGCCGGCGTGTCTTGTCCTTGTGCGCGCGCGTTCTCGCTCTCTCTCTCTCTCTGTGTGCGTCTTGAGTTGCTCGTATCGGCACAAGACCACGGCAAGCAACCTACCTCTCCTCCAGGGTCCGCTCAACGTCTTCAAGGACAACGCATAATTCCTCACCCAGCCTGACCGTTTCACTGCTCGAGCGACTGAAACGCGGGAACTCACGAGAGAACTCTTGCAGTGGGATTTCCATCGCGGGGCTAATAATAGCAGACTAGACCGCTTCGAGCGACATTGCTCTTCGTGAGGTGGGCTGTGTCTGCGACCGACGACGACACTGCGCCTCCTTCACACTCACCAGCCCCAGCAGTCAAGCCAGTCAAGAGAGTACATTGCGCGTTCCTGGCGGACTTTGGACCATTCAGCGGTCGTGCCTGTTTCTTGGTGTCGTTGACTTCTCCACGCGGGCCCAAGCGCGGCTCTCAGGGCTCACTCCCTCCACATCCCACCTATTGTTAGGAACGCGAATACCTACATCATGGACATCCAGCAACGGGGGCGCTCCCCCTCAGCTGGCCAGCATGCTCATAAAGACCACTCCCCCTC